TTGCCTTTTTTACTTTGGACGGATTTTTTCATTTATTCATTTGCCATTATTCACACAAATATATATCACAACATAAACTTGCTTTCAAAAGAACCAAATATCCAAACTCCTCCACCACAAACTCCAACAATAATGATCAATTGCTTCACAAAAACCAAGAATGAAAACGAAAATGAAACAAAAGGCTCAAGATCTAAGGATGTGGCTTGAAAAGAAGGGAAAAGGCTCAAATGGTTAGCAAGAAGGTAAATGTAAACCCAATGAATTAAAAAGAAAGAAAATTAACCTAGAAAAGAAAAATTACCACCCTAAAAAGATGCCTTTGTCATCCCTAGATGGTTCGGTCTCGTGTTTGAGAATTATGAGTCAAAATTCTAGATTAGGTCCGCAATAGTCAAGGATCCATGCCGCTCATGCAAATATATGTTGAAGACTTGAAAAATAATGAACCTCACATGGATGTAGCAAAAACTCACTATTGGTGTCAATTCGACTATAGGAAGAAACTACCAACATGCCACAAACAAGTAGAATCCGGTTTCATGGTCCCACTAGTTCTAACCAACTACCTTAGCATGCTTTATCCTAGAATCAACCAAGCGTACTCTCAAACCGTGCACACCGTTACCACTTAGGAAGAAAAGCATTCAACTATACAAGACCAAAAGTATTATGTCCAAAGCAAAAACAAAACAAAGATACATTGCAAAATTGCCTTGATAGAAACAAAAATCTTTTTGGAGTTTTTCATAATATAAGAACATGAAAAAGCATATACAAAGGTGCATAGCATATGTGAATCAACATCCCATCAAACATGATAGAGCACCCTCCCCCAAGCTGAATGAGACAATACACTCAAACATAAATCATAAAAACCATGGGAGGGGAAAACAAGAAGAGCAATCCAACAAACCAACATACGTCCAACAAATCATCATCCACTTGTGAGAAAGAGCAAGGAAGGATATTACCGGACATTAGGTGGGTGTAAATACCCACAAATGACCCAATCAAACCTTTCAAAGCTTTTCTAGAGCTTGTCAAATGTACTACTACACATTTCATATGAAAGCAAGTATGCACATGACAAAAATAAGGCATGCAACAAGCATAGTGCACGCCTAAGGAGTTGAGAAGAGTAGTGCCAAGAAGAGGAAGGAGAGAAGGGAAAAACAAGAATATAAGAAAAAGGAAGATAAATAAAAGAAAAAGAGGAAGGCATAGTCTTCTCAACTAAATATTTTTGGTTGGAAATCCCACCATTATCCCCAAAAGTCATCAAATAAGGCAGTTGGGGGACTAAAAGCTCTTCAAGAGGAAGGGATATGAGAAAAGATGGTAATGACATGGGATAGGAGGGAACAAGATCAAGCTTTCTTGAAAATGAGGTGCAAGGTAAAGAAATAGGAATTGGTTGCTCACTTAAACCACTATCCATTGAAACACAAGCTCTCTCATCTAATGAACTCACATTCAAAGGGCTCTCCTCTAACTCATCATCATTCAAATCAATCTCATTCTCAATCACATCCTCCTCATAAACTTCACACCCTAAATGAGCTCTCAAAAGCTTCAAATCATCGTCAAGGTTTATTGGATGCTCATCAAAGGGTTGAGGGTCGAACTTGGGAGGTAGCTCAAAATAAACATGAGAAGTAAAATCTCCCTCTAAAAATGCCTTATCCATCTCAATGGTGGAAAATGTAGAAGAGAAAGGGTCATCAAAGGTAAAAGAGGAAGGCAATGGTTGAAAATTTAAGATAGGATTTGGAGACTCAACCTCACCAAACACTTCACTCTCATCTTCATAATCATCAAAAGTAAGCTCTGTCTCCTCAACCTTATCATATGGAACCTCATCTTCATCAAAATCATCTAAGCTCAAGGCCTCACCCCTCGAAGAAACCATGGTCATCATGCAAAGGAGATAGGGTGGAAGAAGATTGGTTCTCAAAATTAAGGAATGGGGGAATGAAATTACAATCAAGGGTGGTGGGTGGGGGAATTGACATATCAATTGGTTTTTCAACACTCAAAACCTCTTGGTCCTCATCACTTTCAAACATCCAATCTCCCATGGAAACTACTTCATCCTTCTCATCCTCACTCTCTTTCCTCACAACTTCTCCACGCTTCAAAAATTGTAATGTCCCATCCTCCTTAACTTGAATTAACGTTTTCTCAAAATTAAGAGAAGCCAACATTTTTAGTTTCTCTTCAACTCCATCTAAAGGATCAATGGAACGAAATTAAAATTTTGAAGGAGGTTCAAAGTTCAAACTCTCTTTTGGATCATCCATCTCCACACCCTTTTCCTCTCTCATAGGCTCTCTAACATCCTCCTCGCACACCTTGGAGCTCTCAAAACAATCATCATCATCATCTTCCATAACTACCAAAGTAGTAGAAACTTCATTTACATTCATCATCGATGACAATTGATTCTTCATCTCCTCATCCTGTCTAAGAACACCCACATTACTCTCTTCCAAAACTTTCACCAATTCCATTTGGCTTCTCATAATCTTCGAAAGTCTCATCTCAATTGGTTCCAAATTAGAATTCATCTCTAATTCTCTCAATGAACCACGAATTTGATTATGAGGAGACTCAAAGCTAGACCCTAAAGATTAAAAATATGAAGAGCATTGAGGAGTATCATGGGGAAAAGAATTATGTGCAAGCATGCGAGTATCAACATTAGAGATATGAGTGGCATCATCAAAATGGGGAATGGGGTCACAAGAAGGCATGCAAGATTCATTATTCATGGAACATGGACCATAACAATCATCAATAGAAGCATTTGAATAACCATGCCCACGATCATAACTATCTCTAGCAAACCATACATAAAGTCTCAAGCATCATCGATTGACAATGCCAGAAATCTACCATTAAACATGCTTTCAACAATGTCTCTAGTTTGCTTAGTCAAATTATTATAACAAATTCCACATGCCTCCCAAAGATCATAACCATGGTAACTAATGAAGTTCTCTAGTCTATTAAAGTACACCCAAAATGGATCATTCTCAAATTTAGGAAACGAGGTATTTCTCATTTTTTTATACAAAACAAACAAAAATCAAATAGTAAAGTATAAAAAAACCTAGACTCAAGCAATAAAAAACACTCAAACATAGACACTGTCTCCGGCAACAGTGCCATTTTGATGATGGGTAGAACTAGGTCGTTGGAAATAATCCTCCCTCGGTCAAACTAAATTTATAAACACTTAACAAACTTATATACTAGTATAGAGGCAAATCAAGGGTCGAATCCAAAGGAACGGTAATGTTCAAGTGCTCTCAATTATGCGTCTAAGCTAGGTCGAAGTCTAAGGATTAAAGGTAAACACTAACCAACTAACAAAACAAAGAACCAAACAAATAAACCCTAGGAACGGGATCAACAAGTAATCATGACAATTGTAGCAACTCGGGAACAATATGCAAATCAATGGTTGTGAAGACTAATGGAAAGCTCAATCAAAAGAGTCAATAAACTATCTCCTAAAGGTCAAACTAGCGCCAGCTACGGGAGACTCTAACTAAGAGCATCACTAATCAAGCTCAAACGACAATTGCAATTCCTAAAACAATGGTCCGTATCATTAGAAACTACAATGCAATCTAGCATAATTCTCAAGGCGTAATCGAATTACACACATCCAAACTTCCATTAATCACTTTAATCTCAACAATGAATCAACACAATCCCAAAAATTAAGCACAATCAATCAATCATACAAGTTTCACCCAATTCCTAGCAAACAACTACTCTCACCTCATCATCAAATCAACTAACAACTAAAGAAATCAAGGATCAACAATATATGAAGAACAACTACACTAATCAACAATCAATTATCAAAATCAAACCAAACAAATATGAAATCAAACAAAGCAATAAAATGAGATAGAGTTAAGAATGGTCATTGATAATAGAGAAGATCTCCAACACAATTGTCACCATTGAATCTTCAATCTCTCAATTACCATTGAAAATCCTCACTTTCTCTCTCTAAAATCTACTCCTAAAATAACCCAAAAACTAGAGAGAGATGCTCTCAACTAAGCTAAGAATATGATCTAAAATGTGAAATGAAGCTTATTCAAAAATTCCCCCAAAAACCGGGCATATAAAGGTATTTATAGAGGCGCAAAAACAAAAATTGAGCAGACATATACCCAGGAAGGCGCGCCTGCGTTGAAAGGGAGGCGCGCCGTTTCTGCAAGGGTAGCGCGCCCATGCCAAGGGGTGGCGCGCCGGCGCCCGTGCCTTGCGCGCCCACGCACCTCTGGGTTTCTTCGATCTTCTCGCGGCTTCGTGCGTTCGCTAAGATCTTCGAATGAACGCCCAATCATGATGATGATGATGAACACTAAGTGAGGTAGTCCCAAAAGCACATGATTGTGGGTTCAAAACCCCATATTCATGAGAGCACCGCTAGAGAGCGCAAGAGCTAGAACTTGGAAAACCCACTTCCTTGCATCTTGAGCTTTCCAATTGCCATGAGCTTGCTCCAAAAGTTTCCTCCACCTTAGTAAGTCACCAATATCAAGACCTGAACCTCGTACAATACCTAAAACTACAAAAATAGAGCAAATAAAGTCGAAAATAGTAGAAAAACCAACAAAATGCATAAAAGCTACAAAATAAGAGAGGAAAGGTAAAACCAAGGCCAAATGCATAAAACTAAGCATTTATTAAGCATGAAAGCCATGAAAATAAGGTAAAAACAACCTAAATTCTCATCAAATGGGTGCCATTTAAGACACCCATCACGGACACTCGTTGAGTCCGTTCTACGCAATACTTTTCCAAAATGGAAAGAGAATTTACCTTTCTATAAGTATAAATATAGAGAGAATATAATGCATGCACATGGAATCTGGGAGGAGGATTTGATAACAATAAAAAATTTGGTGGTGGATTTAATGAAAAAAGTGCTTGGCACTTCTAAACCGTTACACCAAGATATTGACACGGCAATGATGTTGAGGGAGTTAGATATCCCAAAGATTTTACCTTCACAGCTTGCCCTGTTGTACAAAGATTTCACTGATGAGGAGATAAGGAGAGCAATGTTTAGCCTCAATGGTGCAAAAACTCCGGGGCTAGATAGTTTTTCGGCTGAGTTTTTTAAGAAACACTGGAATACGGTGGGACAGATAGTTACTCTTGCGGCCAAGAGGTTCTTGAAGACAGGTTTTCTTCTGAAAGAATGGAATCATTCCATTCTTGTAATGATTCCTAAAGTTGATTCGCCCGAGACCGCTTGTCAACTTTGGCCTATTAGTCTTTGCAACACTATCTATAAGTGTGTGTCCTAGTGTTTAGTTAACAGGTTGAAACATGCTATGCCGGACTTGATCTCAAATACTCAACATGTGTTTCTTACTGGGAGACAAATGACAGATAATATTCTTTTGAGCCATGAGGTATTAGATAGGATAAATAAGAGGAGGAGAGGTATAAATTTTCTGGCGGCGGTCAAGATTGATATAAGCAAGGCTTATGACAGGGTAAATTGGACGTTCTTACACCATGTTTTACAGGCCTATGAGTTCCCTCCTCACTGGATTCACATGATCCATCAGTGCATTTCTACAGTTTCATACAGTGTTCTACTAAATGGAGATATGTCTCAACAATTCAAGCCCACAAGAGAATTACGTCAGGAAGATCCTTTATCTTCTTATTTATTTCTTTTTTGTATGAATATACTTTCAAGAATGTTGGATATAGGTTATGCTTTGAAGATGTTTGAGGGCATTAAACTACCAAGAAGAGGCCCCTCTATTTCCCACTTATTTTTTGAAGATGACGCCCTTCTCTTTTTCAGGGCAACTAAAAGTTGTTGTCAAACTGTTACTAATATCTTACACAGGTTCTGCAAAGTTTCTGGATAACAAATAAACTTGGAAAAATCGCACTTCGATGTTAGCCCCAATACCCCTCTCATTGATCAAATAATGTTTAAAAACATATTGTGCATTGGAAAGGAAAGTCAGCTGGATCCGCATTTGGGGGTGCCTATTGATATGGTAGGAACAAAGGAAACAACCTTTCATTTCATTGTGGATAAGATTAGTAAGAATATTTCTAGGTGGAATGCAGTTCCCCTCTCCCAATCCCAAAAGTTAATTTTGATTAATTCGGTGATGATAACATTATCAGCCAATGTCGTTACTTGTTTTGAGATACCAGTTTCTATTGCTAACAAAGTGGATTCTCTTCTGGCAAGATTCTTCTGGGTGTCTATGGGGTCACAAGGTGTGCATTGGGTTAATAGAGACACAATTCAAATACCTAAGGGTATGGGAAGATTAAGAGTGTGCAATTTGGCTTGCTTGAATAGTGCTCTTCTTATGAAACAGGTGTGGAGAGTAAGTAACAATCCACATCTTTTGTTCTCTAAGGTGTGTAAGGCGCGTTTTGTAAGTCCTATTCTATCAGGGAAATTAGCGTCTTTGGTAAGCAGGCCCTACTCTTGGGGAATGAGAGGCTTAGTTAAAGCTGAGGACATTTTGGTTCAGGGGTGTGGTTGGAAGTTTGAGAATGGGAAAACAATTATGGTTACGAAAGATAAGTGGATGGAAGGGAAGATACCGACAACGCGCTCTTTGGATACGACGAGCGAGATTTGGAATTGGAGGGCTAGGGATTTATTAGACCAAGATGGTACAGGATGGAATCACAGAAGACTCAGTTCTTGTTTTAATCTCAAGGATGCGACTATTATAGCATCAATGGAAGTGCCAGTTATGGAGGCAGAGGACTACATGTACTGGTTAGATCATAAGTCTGGACGTTATACGGTCAAAACAGGTTATGCTTTTGTTAAAGGTTTGGAGTCTCGGATAGGAAATGTGGCGGTTTTGGAGTTTTATAAAGTTCTCTGGGCTCTCCATATACTTCCCAAACGGAAACTTTTTGTGTGGAAATTACTCCATAATGGTTTGGCAACAAGAGGTAACCTAGGTAGAAAAGGGTTGGATATTCAAGTTTACTGTGATCTTTGTTAGGATTTGGAGGAAGATATGCAACATATCTTCAGGTTTTGTACGACAGCATATTTGGAGGGGTGGAATACTAGGCATCCACTCAGAAGATAATGCAGACCAGTCCTTTGTAGATTGGTTTCTGTACTATATCCAGCTTTACCTTAGCTTGGATAGGAAACATGGCCATAGGATTACCTTCTTCTTAGCTACTTTGCGGGGTTTGTGGAATGCTAGGAATAACAAGGTTTTTAGGAGGTCAGGGTCGAGTTTGTTATCGACTCCGGCAATTATTTCAGATGGATAACGTCAACATGATCTTTTTACCAGTAATGGAGAGATGACCTTACGCTGCCTACACCCTCCAGAGAGAGTTTACATGATCACCCGCCAAGTTTCATGCGGGAAATTCTAACTAATGATGGAGCTCAAGAGGGGTCAAGTGTGATACAAGTTGATGGGTCCTGGAATAAGCAGACAAGGAGATCAGGAATGGGGTGGTACCCAGATGGGGTGGAGGAAGATGAGTTCGATGGTCTTGGAGGTGCGACACATGGCCTAGCTCAGTCGGCCATGCAAACTGAGATGAATGCTTGTATACATGGTCTTAAGTAGGGAGCTCTTCGACAGCTAACATCGATAAAAATTTACACGGATTCGGAGAATATGGTTAGGATGCTGAGGAATAAAAGCAACATCGACGTTGATCTAAGATGGACAGTGGATCATATTCTTCGTTTGGGATCAGCCTTCTCCTGGTGTAGCATTCAAAAAGTAGACAAGATCAAGGTACAAAAGGCACATTTGCGGACAACAGCGGCTAATACTAGTTTACTGTCTTTTAATAATGTTTAGTAGTGTTTAGTAGTGTAGTTTGTTTTAGCATATGTCAAAAAAAGTTAAAATAAAATAAAAAAAGTAAAAAATCAATCATTAAAGATCCAATAAAATAAAATAAAATTAAGAGTCCAATTTCCAATCATCAATCATCTATATATATATATATATATATATATATATATATATATATATATATATATATAGATATATAGATGATTGATGATTGGAAATTGGACTCTTAATTTTATTTTATATATATATATATAACTTGTCTCACGAGCAAACCAAATCTTACATCGCTACCTTCATCCCAATAACTTATTTATAGGGTTATTGGTTTATCTTACATTGTCGATAAGAAAATAATAACTTGACAATTATTTCCGTTTAGAGGGAGTTTTCGATCAATAATCGTTCCACATGTGAGGCAGCAATGCAACTTCAGACGACAAATAACTTTCAGAGCTTGCAATCTCCCCTATACTCGACGAACCATTTAAGTTAGGGGAGGTTTCCATTTTTGTAAGCTGAGTTAGGACAGCTTCGAGCACCTTTCGATCACATGCTAAAGGACTTAGGTTTATAGAGGTTGAGTCATTTTGGATTACAGTAGTGCAATTGAAAGTAGTCAAGGTTTGATCATTTTGAGTGGCACTATTATTAATAGGATAGATGTGAAAACTTTGGTGATATAACAACGGATTATTGGTATTATCATGGTTGGCAGATGATGAGGTAATGGAGAAGCAGGGCACTTGCTGGTAAGAATTACTCGTATCTGCATTTACTTGAGTTTGGTTAAAGGTGATGTAGGAGTCCATTAATGATGGTAGGCCGAATGATGAGCTTGTATCTTCCATGGAGTTGCTCTCCTTATCAGTACCGCCTTTCGAACATATTTCTGATCTATTCTTATAGAAAACCCTACAAAGGACCCAATCTTCTTGCTTCAAGTTAATGAAAAAACTGTATGAGTTAGCATATAGATAATGTGCATAAAACTCTAGAATATTTCAAATATCAATTATTTACCTTAAAAAATACAAAGTTATTAAGTTAAGTAACATGTGTGAGAAACTTTATCTACTCATTGCATTCCTTAAGTTTTTATTTTAAGTATTACACTATCTTAAGTTGACTTTTAAAATAAAAATTAATTCAATTATGTTTTATATACAATAGTTTAACAAGACATGCTTAGTGATATAAAAATTGGACCATTAATATCTTTAACATTTTAATAGAATATGTACCGATGAGATTTTTGTTTATTCACCATATATCCTCGATATTTTTCAAGTTCACCATATAATCTTGAGTTGCTACAAAAATTCACCATATACCCATAATGACAACAATATGAGTGAAATTTGATTAATTATTCATCGAAACCACCCTAGATAGATCTTTTCCCCATTCCTGAAACCGCTCTTCTCCTTTCCTTAACTCCCGAAACCACTCTAAATCCATAACCATATCCGTATGATTGATTTTGAGGATGAGAAAAGAAAACTTGGGGTGCTTTGTGGGTGAGAAAAAGGAATGTAGGAAGTTTCGTGGGTAGGGGAATGTATTTAAGGTGGTTTCGGGTCATAATTAACCCTAATGACTAATGAAGTTTACGGTCATTAGTTATCAAAGGTTAGATGGTTTATTTTTGTGAAACTAGGGGGTATATGATAAATTTAAAAAGTTTAGGGGCATATGGTGAATAAACAAAAAACTCAAGGATATATGTTGAAAAAAACAGTTATTAAAATGTTGAAAAATGAAAATAGTCATTGTAACTAATTCAACAACATATTACATTATTACATGACAAATTTTATTTGTTATGCATTAGTTAAAAATACAAGTTAATCCATTAAATAAATACTTTGTACTATAAAAAAGAAAATTATTGTAATTGAAATATATGTTAAGTTATGGTGAATTTAATTTTGATATTTACTATCTCCACGTGGCCCTTCTTGTTTTAATATCTTAACTAGATTAGTACTCGTGTGTTGCACGGTGGTTGATTAGTAATTTTGTCTATAATTTTTTATCTTTTGTTGTTGATAACTTTCTAATATGATTTGGCTCGTTATTTTTGTACGAAAAATTTGTTATATAAATATATTAAAAAAAAACATGAACTTAAAAAAATTAGTTATAAAATGCAGCATCATAATGTAATATTTACTATGTTATTAAAAATTTAATAAAATGAAGGTTAGATTAAATATATTAATGTTTTATAAATGTATAATTCATTAAGGTTATACGTTTAGAGTGGAAGCCTAATAAATGCGTATTTACTATTAAAAAATATATGTATTAATTTGTTCAAAAAAAATAGTGTATAATTAGCTACTAATATCTATGTCTATTTAATATTGTTGTATTATGAAATCCAAAAGTAGTGTGGATTATATACAACAATATTGATGTCAAATTCAAATTTTCACACCTAATTGGTCCTAGTTTCTAGCTAGAAAAAGGCACAAAAAAAAATTGATGACATCATAGGTAAAAATTGAAGGGAAAATTTTTTATGAGAGTTTGACACGTAAGCACTTTAAGAAATTGATGACATCATTAATGTTTTGCTTTAGTAATAGTTAATAGATGGTCAAACTCACTTCTATTTTTTATTGTCGACCTAACATCATTTTTGTAAATTATTATTTCACTCTTTTGACATTTTTTAGTTTTGACATTTTTTAGTTTTCAACAATCTAACTAATTTTATTGCTTTCTCTGCTCTTTTTTATCTTCCTACTTTTGGTTTATGTTATTATTATAATCTTACAATTTTTCGTTAATAAAAAAACACCACTTTTATCGGTTCTTACCCCACCACATGGTCCATAATGATAATGATAATGATGATGATGATGATGATGATGATAATAATAATAATAATAATAATAATAATAATAATAATAATAATATTTCAATAAAAAAATCATTTTTCTGTCCTACCGAAAAAGTTTTTTTTATTTTTTTATTTTTGAAAAAAAAGGACCCACTTCCTAATTACTACTTCATTTCATTTTTGATGAATAGTAACTGGAAGGATTTAA